TGGATCACTTTCATTTTCCATATGAATATTAAAATCACCAACAATCAAGGCCTTGTCGGTAGTAACCACCAAGCTTGTTAAGAAAATCAATATCTGCCATATCTCGGAAAGGCTAATTTATGTTACTGCAACAAAGAAAATGGCTTCATCCAAGTTTGACCTAATGTAAAATTATTATTTATTATTATTATTAGTTGGTTAGAATAAAGCTAAAAATCTATGAATGTGTCCTCACATAATATGTAACATTATAGTGTGCTGGGGCTCAGTAAATCTGAACTTACAACAAATGATTAGCAATTCCATATCAGACAATACTGTTACATTGTATGCATGTTGGCCAGTGTCAATCAAAATGTTTAGTATATTACATGATGCCGAATTCCTCATTAATATTATGATAAGAAGCCCTGGTATCTTGGAATTAAGTCAGAATTTAAAGTTATAAAGAAGTCTTCATATTGAGTAAGTATGTCATGATTTCTTGATGTAAAGTCTTTCTCTTGTGATATTATGCCATTCTATTATGATAAGAAACTTAATTAAGCATGGCTGGATAAGCTTAAGAGTTGAGACCTTTTACTTATTGTTTGGTCCCCCACACTTCAAAAATCTCTCCTGTGCCCCTGCTTTACACTGCTACTATGCCTATATGTCTTTTAATTATAGTGTTTTTACAGCATGTGAGTTACTCAGCTGTAGTTCTCTGTGTATGGGTGTCTTACTGAGACTGCTTATGGACCTGTGTATGAGAAAGAATACATTTAATTCTGGATGTTCATATGGCTTTTATCTTCATTATACACACATTTCTTTTAAACTACACAAATATTTTCATATTCTTAAATATTTTGGTCATTTATTAATTATTGTAAAATGGCAGTGAAAAGGGAATACCTACAAATATAGATATACATAATATGTGTGTCTGTGTCTGTGTGTATGTGCTCAAATGCATATGAAATGATCAGTATCATAATCCATGTTTTCTGCAGCCTGTTGGATCAGCATGATGGGTTGTAATGTGTTTCTTCTGCTGAAACTTCTACTGATTTCAGGTCAGTTTCTTTCACTTGAAGTATTCCTCATAAAAGGGCCCCACAAATGTAGATATTGATGGCATCTGCCAAAAACCAATCATATTATATGGGTCTTTCTTTGATGTTTGCAGGACCTTTGTGTTGCACTTGTTATACAGGAGAGAGACACATCTACTAAATTTACATTTAGATTCAGACAAATCTGATTATTTATAGTATGTACAGGTACATCTCAAAAAATTAGAATATCATGAAAAAGTTCGACATTTCTTGACATTCCTTTCAGAAAGTGAAATTCATATATTACATAGATTCATTACACATAGAGTGAAATATGTCAAGCCTTTATTTCTTGGAATTTCGATGATTATGGCTTACAGATAATAAAACCCAAAATTCACTGTCTCAGAAAATTAGAATATTGTGAAAAAGTTCAATATTGGAAAGTCATGGTGTCACACCCTAATCAGCTAATTAACTGAAAACACCTGAAAAGATTTCCTGAGCCTTTAAATGGTCTCAGTCTGGGTCAGGAGGCTACACAATCATGGGGAAGACTGCTGACTTGACAGATGTCCAGAAGTCATTGACACCCTCCACAAGGAGGGTAAGCCACAAAAGGTCATAGCTAAAGAAGCTGGTTGTTTACAGAGTGCTGTATCCAAGCATATTCATAGAAATTTAAGTGGAAGGGAAAAGTGTGGTAGGAAAAGGTGCACCAGCAACAGGGACAACCGCAGCCTTGAGAAGGATTGTCAAGCAAAATCCATTCAAGAATTTAGAGGAGCTTCACAAGGAGTGGACTGAGGCTGGAGTCAGTGCATCACGAGCCACTACGCACAGACAAATCCTAGACACGGGTTACAAATGTCCACAGTCAGTGATGATTTGGGGTGCCATGTCATCTGCTGGTGTTGGTCCACTGTGTTTTCTGAAGTCCACAGTCAACACAGCCATCTACCAGGAAATCTTAGAGCACTCCATGCTTCCTTCTGCTGACAAGCTTTATGGAGATGCTGATTTCATTTTCCAGCAGGACTTGGCACCTGCCCACACTGCCAAAGGTACCAAAAGCTGGTTCAACGACCATGGTGTTACTGTGCTTGATTGGCCAGCAAACTCGCCTGACCTGAACCAAGAGGAAGATGAGAGACACCAGATACAACAATACAGATGACCTGAAGGCTGCTATCAAAGCAACCTGAGCTTCCATTACACCTCAGCAGTGCCACAGGCTGATCGCCTCCATGCCAGGCCGCATTGATGCTGTAATTCATGCAAAAGGAGGCCCAACCAAGTATTGAGTGCATAGGAATAAACATACTTTTCAGAAGCCTTACATTTGTTTAAAATATCCTTTTTTATTGGTCTTATGTGTTATACTAGTTTTCTGAGACAGTGAATTTTGGGTTTTATTACCTGTAAGCCATAATCATCGAAATTCCAAGAAATAAAGGCTTGACATATTTCACTAATGAATCTATATATGAATTTCATGTTCTGAAAGGAATGTCAAGAAATATTGAACTTTTTCATGATATTCTAATTTTTTGAGATGTACCTGTATGTCTTTGATAATAATGTATATTCATCAGCCTGTCAGTTCAAAGATGGACTTGCAAAAGCCTTTCCTCATCTTGTCAGATCAGGTTTATATTTTATTATTTATGATCATGTGTATTTGTTTCTCTCTGCCTGTGTGACTTTTTTACAGAGTTTCACAGTCACTGTTCATGCCTTTCACATCAGTACCATTTTGTAAACATAAACCTGACCTGGACTGATGCCCAGACTTACTGCAGAGAGAACTACACTGACTTGGCTACCATTGACAATATGGAGGAAATGAAAAGACTAACTGAGTCTGTAGGCTCTGATTATACTGGAGAGGCCTGGATAGGACTGAAGAATGGAACATCATGGAGATGGCAGTGGTCCTCTGGAGAAGGAGGCACAGGGTACACCAACTGGGATACGGGTGCAAAGTACAACCAGAATAGTGGCAATTACTGTGTTGGGATGAAAGACACCAGCGATTGGAATAATATTCCCTGTTCATATCAGAGTAAGACGGGGTATTTCATCTGTTATACTGGTGAGTAACATTAACCAGCTCTTTAACAAATGGAATGTGCCTTTTAAAGTATACAATCCAGCCATGACATACTCCATAGTACCTTTGACAGGTGAAAAGCATTACAGCCTAAATGAGAGTACATTCTGTTGTCGTGCATGGATACAGGATCTCTCAAAAGGTTGAGTTAAAAAAAAAGCTTTTTGAAAAAGGCATTTGTGTTCTGCACATTCCCATAACACAGCCACAGAAGTAAATTAACATATACAGGAATTAAAGAATGATGAATGAAGCAGGACTGGCACCTGACTGAGTATAAGATGTCAATCGCAGCCCCCCCAGTTACACTCAAGAAGAATAACAGTTGTGTATTTAATGGCACAAGTACTGTGCCAGCCTAAAAAGCAACATTCTGACACGAGCAGTTCGGTTGTACCTTTGATGAACAATTAAAAAAAAAAAAAAAACAATTCCACAGCATACATTACAAACTAGTGAAATTACACAAAACCACACTTCAGCCGTATACATGCAGCAACCCACACAATGTTCCCCACAGGAACTAACCCTCAGGGTCCTAGACAAAACACAATAAAACAAAACAGACCAACATACAATACAATATGCGGGCCTCCAAATTACTTCTTGCCCCGCCCCCCCCCCCTTGGACCAGGCCCGCAAAATCAAACACCAAATTAAAACAAAAGAAAATACATCGAATGCTTTGGGAAACAGGAAAAACAGTGGCTGACCAATGGACGAAGCCTCCGCCTGTAATCAAAAAGACAGAGTATAAAATTATGCTAATTCAAGTAATAACATAAACTCAAATAAAATCAATACCAAGGAACAAGTCGGTGTATGCGCTCTCCCAAAACCAGCGCTGCTTCGGCTGGCTCGCAACCGTGTATACTGCTTCCAATATCAGAATGCACTACGGACAAAACACTCCACATTAGTTCCAATAAACCACCATATGACTGAAGACAGCATAAGAGGAAACTCACGTGATTCCGTCTGCACTATGCGTACCCACGACTTCGTGAATTACTTCCTGCCAGGCGCTATCCTTCTCTCAACTGAATCTTCCAACGGAAAGATTAAAGGAAAAGCGCCTCTGCCACCTGAACTAATCAACACTAAGGGGCGGGCCCAATTAAATGGCACTTCCCTCCCCATCATACAGGCTACATATAGAAGTGAGATTTATTTCGGAAGTGGTGGTGTATGGTGGCTGAGGGGGGGTATTTTCTTTTTCTGGAGGCTGATTGTGGCTCAGCTGGTTAAGATACTGCTGAAAGGTAGCAGAATGATTATACTGCTGCACTCCATAACCCCCCCCCCTGCTTTGGATAAAACCATCAGCTAAATGTATTAGGAGTAAATGACTTCTGGGTTGTTGTTGTATCTTATGCTGTTTACAACAAATCCACAGATCTCACCTGTAAAGACGGAATAAATGCTACCTGGAACTTCACCTTGATTAAAGAAAATATGAATTGGTCTGATGCTCAGAGCTACTGCAGACACAATTACACAGACCTGGCGACTGTGAGGAATAAAGAAGATAATGCCTTGATACATGCAATGTTTCAGAAAGGCACTTTTGTGTGGATTGGCCTGTTCCGGGACACATGGGAATGGTCAGACCTGTCAAACTCCTCATTCCGTAACTGGAAAATGGGTCAAAATGATAATAAGAATAATGCATGTGCTTTAGCACAGGTCACCTGGCCTGGGACATGGGATATGACACCATGTGATGAAAAGCATCCATTCTTATGCTATGATGGTGAGTTATGTAACTTTACTACAGTGGCTGATTCTCCCCTTTATCTAACAACTTTAATTTATATTACTTTAAAAATATACTACACCTAAAGTTATAATCAGTGTTATAAGTACACATAACACTGTACAGTTGCATCAGAAAGCTGTTTTGTTTTCACTGTTTTGTGAATTTCACTCCCTCTACCCTTCTGGTAATAAATTCCTTTCTCCAAATTCTCCCAAATGTCACATGACTTTCTCCTGTAGCCGGCATTCTGACAATCATCTTACCTTCTACTCTAGATAACCTCATTCTGGTAAACAGAACCATGACCTGGAATGAAGCCCTGAATTACTGCAGAACAAACTATTTGGACCTGGTGTCTGTCCACAATGAGGAGATCCAGTACTGGGTCAGTAGGATGGCTGAGAAGGCCTCCACTGATCATGTCTGGCTGGGGCTGCGCTTCTCCTGCTACCTGAACTTCTGGTTCTGGGTCAGTGCAGAGAATGTCTGCTACCAGAACTGGGCCCCAAACAACACATCCAACAGTAACTTGTGTGGAACCACAGGGGCAGTACAATCTAAAGACCCACATTACTGGGTCAGCCTGCCTGAGACTAAGGAGCTCAACTTCATCTGCTCCAAATATCCAAGTAAGGCTGATCCACGTACTCAGTACCTGCAGAACTGTCAAAATGTATGAATGTGGAGCTGTACTTTTATTTTGTGTTTCTACTGTAGAAGTAGGATTTAAAGCCCTTCTCTTGATCTTCACCACTCCAGATTCAGACTGATATATGAGTAGAAGAGTGATTTAGTATTTTGAATCAGGTGTTTTCCTTTTGCATAATTTAGAGGAACTGTCATCTCTTGTTATTGTTACACTAAGAGTAGAAATTATATATTAGGAATGATAAGATTCACCAATTCTCATCATTGCACTGTCATAAAAGCTCACAATGTGATTGTTCCGATTAAAAAAGGTGTATCAGACACTATTTGGGATGAACTCAGGATGCATTGTTTCTAATATCTCTGCATTGGTAACATCAATCCATTTTCTGAAACTGCTTATCCTGACTGGGTTGCAGGGATGGCATATGTGCATGAGGCAGAGAACAACCCAGGATGGGGCACCACCTCATTACAGGTCACACACGGGCAATTTCATAACTCTAATCAGCCTCAGCATGTTTTTGGATTGCAGTGACTTGAACCCAGACCCTAGAGGTGTGAGACAACAGTGCTACCCACTGCACCACCATGCCACCCCCATCAGTAATGCCTGATTTATAAATTATTGGTTGAATCAAATTGTGCCAAATCACAATGAATCACAATAGAGGTGAAACATATTGTATTGCATAAGTTGTTGCTTCATATGTATCTTTAATGTATCAGATCTTCAGCAATGTATCAAGATGCTCGTCCCTAATTTGTGTGCATTTTGTAGTTAAACAGCAGTAAACAACAAGCTCAGTAATGTCTTCTGAATTATATTAGTTATATGTCATATGTTTAGTGCCAGGAAGCTGCTAAATATATAACTGAATAAAGGTATTAATAAAACTCACCTAAGCGATGAACATCTCAGATGTGGATCACCCACCTGTCTGAAAAATAATCCATCCATCCACCAGTCACCTGCCCTGGTTAAGGGGTGGGGCTGGAATAGATCCCAGGCAGCTCAGAGTTGGAGTACATCCTGGACTGGACGCATCCGTCGTTGTGTTTACAAAACTTAAATCAGTAGCATTCACCAAAAACTGTTCTATGTCAAACCAGTTTCTCATTCAGCTAAGACCCTGGAATCCCTCACACCTGGTTACACTGCATCACACTCAGCCTTTCAGAGACCTTTAATGGAGAGACATTCAGCTAAGAATTGCTCATATTATGATTGAGACAGGAATAAGAAAGGGGGTAAGGAAGGTGGTTTGAGTCACTTTTACCATCACATACACAACAGAAACCATGGTGGGGGCTTTGGATCACTTGTAGATGCTGTCTGAATGAATCACTGGTACTCACACGAGCAAATTTGGGCATGGATTAAAAGAAAACTGGTGACACTTAAGGCTATGTTTTTAGTAATCTGTAAACATATTAATAACAAATAATAATGCATTCTTCAAGCATTATAAACATGGCTATACATATTTATCAAAAGGCATAACATATTATAACCATGTGTATTATGCATTATGAATGTTTTATGAAGCTCTCATAGCGCCCCCGTGATAACATGCATAGCTCCCCCCATGGCTCCCCTAAATGCATATGCCTAAATACGTATATATGTGGGCTACTCTTTTGTGCATTGGGAACAGGTGAAACACAAATGTAAGCACATTTTCTGACAGACGCTTTACATGGATCACTTCATTTCTGATAAATGAAGTTAAAAACTGAAAAAAATCAAGTTTGTAGAAGTAAGACGGTCTAAACAAGGAAGCAGAGTGGGTTAAACATTTGTAAAAACAGCAAAATGTAACTGTAAAGCATAAATAACAATGTTTTTCAAAATTTTATTTTGCTTCTTAATGCTGTCAAGTGTAAGTAATACTTGGCGGACATTAAGGTCAAATGCATCTGCCCCCCCTAAGAACAACTGGCCCCAGTCACCCACCCAGTTGAAATGGTCTAAAATCACCACTGCCTAGACTACCTTAAATCTGATGTTATCCAGCTTAGCAAGAAACCCTCCTTCATGATCCAGGCCCCAGGTTGACCTGGCAGTGACGCGCTGATTGGGCAAGGGATGGTCAGCTGTGGTCAGCACTGGTGTAGTGCATCACTGGCACTGGCTGAGCTCTCAACATAAAGTTAAATCAATGTAGCAGAAGGCCTGCAGTGCAGATAGGTTCAGTCAGTTCTCAGTCAAAAACAAGGGTAAAGAGTCCACTGGGTTGCTGGTCTCTACTCTGTATAATCCACACCAGCCAGATGGGATTAATGTGCTCCCTGCAATCACAGCAGCAGCATTACCAGCAACCTCAGGTCAGGTTGGGGAGCATGTGCAGATGCAGAGCATTGCTGCACCCACCAGGCAGCGAAACTCCTCGTAATCCCGGCCGGCAACCCCCCAGGCAGATACACGGTCCAGTCCCACCCTCCAGAAATGGCCATCCAACTGCTGCAACCAGGTGTTACGTGGGCGTCCCCTTGGCCTGGTCCAGCCTATATGTATCCATCCCTAGCCTCAGAGCCACCACTCTGGCCTCAAATGTTACTGTTTGTGAACTTTGCTATCCGGACCTGCAAACACCCACAATTGTCTGAATACAGCTGTTACACACAGGTATTCAGGAACCAGCAAAGCATGTTTGAAAATGAAGAAAATTACTGACATTTTCTTAATAACAATCAAACTGTATGAATTTACACTGTCAACAATCCGCTGCCAGCATGCCGTTCTAGCTTTGCCGGTAGCCACAATGGTGCTCTTCACCATCACTGTAGCTTTGAGTTCTTCATATTTTGCCAGACTAATTATTTGGCAGGCAAATCAATGATTCATTTGCCACAGAATTTAAAACAATGGGGATGGGGGGGAGGTGCAGGTGAGGAGATGAGGCGCAGACTTCAGTACTCAGCTCCCCATATACAATAAACTGTTATTAGCATTTGAAAGGCCAAACCATAACTGGTTGTTAGGTTACTGAAAACCTCTGTGTAACAGCTGTATTTGGACTGTTGTGGGTGTTTACTGGTCCGGAAACACATGGGCACAGCTGTAACAGGCAGCCGCTGAAGGCAAAACTTTCCAGCGAAACTTTGGAGCCCAGCAGTGTCTGACCCACCCGAAGTTTCTCTTGAGTAATAGTCTGCTGCTCCACTTGTGGCAATGTCAATGTATGCAGCCAGCTCAGGAGAGGCTGCGTCACCAGGACCCAGGTCATGAGATGCCGTGTCAACAGCACCCAGGTCAGGAGAGGTCGTGCTGCCAGCACCTGGTTCCAGAGAGGGCTCACCGTTCACACACAGCTCAGTTTAGTCTGTGTCACCGCCGGTGTATTACCTGAGCTTGTCCAGAATGCAGTGTCACACCTGTTATCTTTTTGGCGTCCTCTCCACTGCACTTCCACATGCATCCCGCGAGGTTTGGACTGCTGTCTCGCTGGCACCACCAGTCCTGGACAGCATTCCTCTCCGTGTTCTTGTCAGAGGGCCATCCCTTCAGCCTCTGAAGTCTCTACCATCCCGCCGGCCCCTGATCTCCTCGCTGCCCTGCCAGCCCCTGACCTCCCAGCCACTCTGTCAACCCAGGGGATGGCATGTTTCCAAAGACCTGCCTGGGAGAAGCCACCAAGTCTGCAGAGCTAGACCCCAAGACAACCGCTTTGCCCATTTCGCCAGACCCAGATTTGCCAGCAACTGTCTCACCTGACCCTGTGTTGCCAGAGTTCTAGGTTCCTGGCCCAGAAAGGGCTGCGTGACCTGCACCTGGCCTGAGACAGACGGGTTGGTATGACCTGGTCCTGCAGACCCCCACAGAGGCCTCACCTACAACTGTGCAGAAGTCAACAACTCCAGGTGTCCCGTCGACACCCTCCTTGTCTCAAGCAGCCTTGTGGGCACCTCCTGATATCCTGTCGGCACCTTCTGGTGTCCCATCGACACCCAACTCGTCTGCAGCCACCTCATCGGTGCCCTCCTCATTATTTGCAGTCTCATCGGCACCTGCTATCTCACCTGCAGTTTCTCCAGGATGCTCCTCACCACCAGGGGTTTGTTATAGGGCACCTAATGTAGCTGTAGAGGAAAGCAGAATATTATATGA